TGGTGTTTCTGTGCGTACTGGTATTCAGCAAATTAATTCCTCTAGCATCCCTGGCTCCCTGCTCTGCTTGCAGGTGCATAGTGACACCTTGCTGATTCTTCTTTAGTTTAGTTGGTGTTCCAGCTAGCTAGAGAAAGCTGACACAAATGCACTTCTCACACATTCCTATTGCTAGCAAGAAAGTTCCCTTGAAAATTTGTCCTAGGACCTTAGAGGGGCTTAGCATTATGTAAATATTTACTTAATCGTACTCACATTTCTCTCTGAGGCCTCAAAACAGGGAAGGCCTTAAATCTGTGCCTTAGACTGTCAACTACATAAAACTTAAAATGTATTAAGACTTTAAATGCCAATGAATCATATCATTTGCACATTTTTCTCATTTTCTTTCACAAGATGGAGAACAAGTCTCACTGCATCAATCTCATCAATACAGGTAAGCATTTGTACAGCACATCCTGTAAATTTATCTCATGTAAATGCTACAGGTCTTTATTTAGTGTCACTACATTTATTATGGACTTAAAAGTGATCTTAATGCTACAGGAAGTACTGGTGAGATTGCATTTCATTATAAGATCGCAGAGACTGCAGCTTGCAGACCCTGTAGTGTGCCAGCAGTATTGTCTGTAGAGCTCCAGCACAACACAAAGAGAAACATTCCCAAAATAAGCAAAAATAAAAACTAAAGAAAAACCAAGGAAGGCAACTAAGACACCAGATAAATAAGAGTCTATATTCAGAAAATAACTACATTATATTTTGAGATTTGCACATCCAAACAGAGTTAGAAAATGCAGACAGGAATTGTGAGCAAAATTCACTACAGCAGTGAAGCTGTGATGATTCCTTCACAGGTTTTACAACTGCATCACTGTCCTCAAGTAAGAAATATTAAACATATATAGATGGAGGTACTCATCCACTTCCACATGAATTCATCCTTAATAATCCACTGAAACTCATAAAACATAAACCACATCAATCCGCTTCAGTATATAACTAGTTATTAAATGCAAACTCCAATATACCATAAAACTTAAAAGAAAATGGGGAAAATGACACAACCAATGTACTGTGAATGTGAATGTTATAACATATGGAGGACAAGTTTATAAAACAGCAAGACATGCAGATCTAGAATTAACACACTTCAAGCTCCTGTGGAGATTGTACTGGACTTCAGAAAAGGGTTACTAATTATGTTTAAGAGACTTTTATGAATCTTGGACACATTAAAATAAACAATGTGTTCCAGCAGTGCACTTAGGTCCTGACTTCAGTGACACTGCAGTTTAAATTTAGTGTAAAATTCAGTGTAAAGCATTTGTTTTCCCTGCTATTTCTCTTTCTTTCTTTCTTTTGCTACTTGGGGAGAAGTTCTCTACCCTATGTTTAGAAAACTACTCCTTGGGGACAAGTTCCCCAGAATGAGAGAACTATTCTAATAATAGTCTCCTCCTCTTCATCAGTTTAACAGATGTATGAAAACAATAAGATCAATGTTTTGTAATCCTTCTTGGATGTCACATGCTGCTGCTCCCTTGCAGTGAAGAATGAAAAAAAACACTTTGTAACCATAGACTATAAAGTTACAGCTCACATTCATGTGTAAATTTAAATGGCTACCCAAAAGGGAAAAAAAAAAAAAAAAAGAGAGGCCATCCTTATTGACACTTGTCCAAGGAATCTTCGATTTTGTCTGAAATGGATGACCTTTTGCTGCAGTTGGCATAAAGACCCATTCTAATCCTGAGTTTACAGAAGGAAGCTTAGACAGTTTGGATACTGCTTCTGAAGTCTGAACTAAACTGTCCAGAGATGTTCTTTGGCTGTTCTCATACAATTTCTATTGCTGTTGAGAGAAATGTCCCTACTGCTTTCCCTAAATTATGTGGCCAGTTCCATAAAAGTACATTTAACTTTCATGGCTACATGGGGTGTACTCTTATATAAGTTTTACAAAAATGACAACTTCTACACTCAAAATTTTTATGAATGTTAACAAAGCAGCCACTTTCATGAGTATTACAGCTGCTGCAAATAACATCATTTGTACTAGAGGTCAATTATGTAACTGTTAGACTGTGGACACTTACAATGAAGGTCAACATGATAAATTTTAGCCACAGTAAGTTTGTCCTCCTGCCATGTTCCTGTTTCCCTCAGCTGCACGAGTGAGCTGTTTGGAGCTCACCCTGAACACCAGGTGATCAAAGGAGCTAACCATAGGGGAACATTTTATTCTCACATATTTGTAGACAGCCAAATATCAAGAGCATGAGGCCTTACCACATGTCCTTCTTCACAAGACTTGTTAGCAGGTGTTGATACAACACTGGTGTTAGCACAGTTTCCTTCTTGCTGCTCACCCTTTCTACTCCAGGCTGGAGTTCACTGGAGTGCTCCCATGATGTCCCTCTCTCATTGTTGCTTAGTTTAGCTTCTAACTAGTCCCTCATGATGCTGAATGCTGTTGTCCACCTTTTGTACTGAAAATTATACCTTCAGTGCATTTTTGCTAAGGTCTATCAGGATTTCATTTTTAGGTAATTATCATTTCAGAAATTAATTTTCAGAAATTTCAGTAACTGAAGGAACATAAGTTTTTGTAATTAATTTGTATGGGTTACAATTATTGAGATAGGGAAAGAAACTTTTTTGTTTGTTTGTTTTCTTTTCAAAAAAAAAAGCGCTCTTGATTGATCTGACATTTTGGTGGTTGTAAATAAGGTTTAAATTCAGTATATTTTAATCCAGGAAAAAAAAATTACTCAGTTGTTTAAACCATTCATATCACCACTTTCAAAATCATTTTGGTAGGAGAAGGACGATTAGGAGAAAGCTCAAGGAGACTGAGTATCTCTTGAAAAGATCATAGTGCTTTCATTAAATCACTCGGATGAAAGTTAGGGTGGTTTCCCTGAGCTGACTTCATAGTAATTGATTTTAAGAGTGCCACATCATTGTTTTATTTTTAGAAATATTCCCAGATTAAAATAAATAGTTATTATACTTCAATCAAAACTGATTATTTTCTTCAGCTCAAATTTCTGAAAAAATAAATTTGCTTAATTAAAACTATTTTACTTCTTCAGACAACTGGAAAATTAGTGATTCATGCAGGATCTCTCTAATTTAGCTGAAGGAGACTAAATAGCACCCACTCACCAAAACTATGAATGACATTTTTAATCCCCTACATTATTGCTAATGTAGTGGCACTTGCTTAAAATAGAAGTCAGCTTCCTGGATTCCCCAGTGTTAAAAATTTCTCCTATATAATTTTTCACATTTTTTTCTGATAGTACAAACTCAGTAAAATAATACATGAGGAGAATCTGAACAATGTTATCTAACTTTATTCATCTGCAAGTTTCTGGTATAGCTAATGTTGTAGAGTAGATTTGAGATTAAACCACAATTATATATTAATAGAATTACACTGTCTATTACTAAATCAGTGTAAAGGGGGGTTCTATCAAGATGCCAATTTAAAAACCTGAAGAGGAACAAAAGTCCAAAACCAATGTTAAGTACATGGAGAAAAAATATTCCCCCTCTTCCAACTCCATACTCAGCAGACCTGTAACAGCACTGAAAAAGGAACATGGTTGTTTTGCCAACTACATGTGATCATTTCACTAATTTGCCTTTAAATTTCCCCTAACCAACCAGAACTGACTAGTAATGAGCTGACAGGGGTCGGTTATCATTTGATAGTAGTACAGTCGGGTTGATTCTGAGTCGCAATACCTGTCCAAGGTGGTCCCAAGAAGGAGCAATTATGGGCCACTACTTTCTCAGACCTGTGCATATACTCGCTTAGAATAACCCCAGTTGTCTACAGAAGAGAAATAAACTGGTCTTTATGCAGCTTCATATTCCTGTCACTTACTATATATTTTATCGAATGATCAAATACAGCTCAAAAGTAGTCTCTCTTTATGAGCCAAGATATTTTTATCCTACTTCACTGTTAATAAAAATATAGTCTCAGGTAAGAGCTTGCAATCCAAATAAATATCTGGGCTTCTTTTATAGAAGTTAAATATCACCTCCAGATTATACATGCTAATTCACTATGTCTGGGCTTGTTATTTTACTTAATCAAGCTTATCATTATGGAGACAAAGTCATCCATGTGGCATATGTGCAGGAAAGGAACTTTAATACCTAGTGGAGTGTTGTAACAACAATCATCACCAAGGACATCTCACTTACTCCAGAATCATTTACATTTGGTAACAAAGTCAAGGTCATATAATGAAGTCCTAAATCCTTCAAAAAAGGCAAATGTAATAAACAACCCAGATCAACTGTTGTTTAAAATCAAGGAACTCTTTACCTCATAATGGGTTTGATTCCCCTGACATAAAGTCTTAAGCACTACCAGCTTCAAAGTTACACACATGCAAAATACAGTTACTAGTATATAAACATGTATTTAGAAACTGTGCACTAGCATATGTGATGCCCATAGAAATGGCTTTTTTTACTCAGCTTGTATGGATAGGTGCTTTTTCATCAGAAAAACTCCATCTGTATGCATATGACAGTACATGTAGGAGCTTCCCATACACTGTAGTATTAAAATCTGGAGTATTTCCTGTTTCTGTCCTTATATTTCTCTGAGACATGAAGACATCAATAGCTCTATTTCATATTAATAGAGGTATATTTCCTACATTGTCTTAGTTAGCTTTATCTGAGTATGGTCCAGCCATCTGTCTTAATATGTCTGTAGGATGTATTCCGAGTTCTATCAGTTTTTGTCCTGCTCTGTTTGTCTTTTTCTGCAAATCTCAATTTTCTACCCAGAACTAACCTCCTGAAAACTGGAGCTACAATACACCTAATAGCAGGAAGCAGGGAACATTAAGGAAATTATATTTGAAACATCGGCTAAAACCTAAGCAGGACAGAACAGATGCTTAGAGAGATAACATCCAGATAACATCATAGTTGAGCCCAAAATCATTAAATGGAAGGTCTGCAGACAGACTAAATATGTATGTCCTATTGATTTACTAGATCTTCCACAATACATTATTGCAAATAATATACATATTCTGTTTTTTATTACAGCTACTCCATCCACACTTAGATGCTGCTTCTGACAAGCTGTGCTTTGTCACAAAAAGAAATGCTCAGAGAAGGCATCAGGGGTTCATTTCCCTTTGTCTACAACTCTTCTGCAATGACAGAAAACAAGAGCAGTTATGGAGTGCTGCGAAGTCAAGGGAGGATTGGCCGCTAACACCACCACAGCTGCATTTTGAGGAGCCATGACGCCACTCTAACTCACACCAACTAGCAGAGGAGTAGCCTACCTGACACCTTGTGGAAAGAGAGCACAAGATCCCTCAGCCTTCTTTCTGCATTCGACACAAACCTCTGCTCACCTCTGTGTTGACTTGTATGCTCCGGGTGCACACGTAAGGTTTCCTTCCCTGCATGTAGGAATGGAAAGTGATCTTACAGCAGGAGAAACTGATATGCATAGAGTCAGCCATCATGACTTTATGTGGTTTTAGATGTTCAGCAAAGACTGACAACTAAAAGAAGAGGCAAACACAGGAGGTATAATGTGCATTTCTGGAAGATTTTTTTTTTAGGGATGCATTTCAGCAAGTGTCTACAGCATCTTACAATATGACCATAGAATTTCTAGCTGAGATCTGAAGGCAGTACTATATATAATGCATTATCAGGATTACATCCTTAGTATTCTTTTTTACAACCAACCAGTCTCTAAGAAGTTACATCAATTCAAAACCAAATACTTTTCAGTAGTCTACTAGTAATTTCAGTATTTATACTTCCATAGAAGAGTTTAAGCCCTTATGCCACCTAAATACTATTTAAGATGATTTGAAAGTTTATGGTATTTGAAAAATCTGAGGTAATTTCGGCAATTATGGCACCAGATGACTTAATATGCCTTAAAACCATACACTACTATGAGGATTTTAGGCAATTTAAGTACTTAGGCCATGATAAAATAGCTCAAGTGCTTGGACTCCCTTGGACATTAAAGGGGTCTAAAAGATCAATGACTACATAATCTAGAATAGTTTGAACAGTCTATTATTTGTCAGAATATTGTTTGACCACAATTTGTAAATTATCTTGAAATTTTTTAAGTGAAATATTACCTAATATCTAGATAAAACTTCACAGCCATTACAAAAATATTTAAAATTATTATTATTATAATAATTATAATATTACTACAGAGTTGGTTCAAGCTTACATTAGCAAGTACCACCTCTGATCAGCATTATTCTTTAAAAAAACAACATAGGCTTTAATTTCCAAACATAGTACAATTTCTGATATCAGGGGCTGAGCTGCTAGATTTATTTTAAGTCTCATCTAAAGTTTTTGGCATTGGTTACATACGAAACCAAAAAAAAAAAACATGCTAGCTACCTTTATATGCATTCAAATTATGCAGTCTGTATTACCTAGTTCTAGTAAAATATTTACACATCTGATTGGAATGAAAATTTTGAATTTCTAACACACAAATAAAGATTTATTTTTTTTTTAATAAAACAATATATGCTTCAAAAATCATTCATGTCCAGTGTTCTGAGAAGAAACAGCATGATACACTGCCACATACCAAGTCAGTTTCCATAACTGTTGCCATCGGAGTAATGAAGTGTCATGCAAAAAAATGTTTATCTAACAAAATAGGCTAATACTATTTGTAGATGATGCAGATACAAAAATTGCTATGATTAATACTTTTGTCTCTGTGTGACTTTTGGATATTTAAAATTATTTCACTGCTTTCTGATGCAGATGTGCAGGGAACACTGTAAAATTTGAACTATTTTCTATTCAGCTCCTACTAGATAAGCAAGAACTTCACATAAAAGCATAAAATCTTGATACTGTCAGCCTTATTGGTCACATCATGATGGGATACAAAAAAATGAACTTGATGGAAAGACTGTATCTTTCTCTCAGTTATGTTAGTGCCTCTGTGGTATGAATGTCAAATGGTAAAACAATAGAAAAAACTTGCAGCATTTCAGCAGTTAACTAAAATCAGCCAAAAATATTGGGGGATTAGTTGGTTAGAATTTGCAAACATAGACTATGTCAGTCTCATATCTTACTCATCTACTTCCAAAGTCCCTAAAGTAGGACATTTTTTTCACCTTTATAGGAACAATTTTTGTTGCCAGCACTTAAATAAAAGTATAAATAATATCCTGATAATTGTTCAGGCACTAGTCCTTATTTGAAGACTACTGCCTAAAATGTTTCCTTACATCTAGAAAGCAAAATATTAAGCCACACTGGGAAAATTATCTTCACTGAAGCTTCCATCACGAAAACGAGTTCAATACTACTCCTACACAGCTCTCATTCACTGATCTCACCAACTCCCACCAACTGCCAGATGACTATAGTAGTATTTCTGTACACACATATGTCCTGGTTCAGCCAGGATAGAGTAAAGCTTTCCCCAGCAGAGAGAGAGGGGGAAGGGATCTCCAGCCGAGTTATTCATACCATGCTGGCATCAGGTCCAGGGGCGGAGCCTTTTCACCTTTCGCTTCTGGTGTTGGTTTTTGCCATACACGCGGCGGGTTTGCTCCGTGATCATTTAGTGGTATTTCTCTGTATATCTTTTGTCTTGTTCACTGTTATTGCTGTTTATTGTTGTTACCATTGATGCTGTTGTTATTCAGATTGTTCTATCACCTGTTGTATTAAATTTCTTGTTATTTTAGCCGGGGTCTGTGTTTAACTTCCAGCCCGACCGGCGCGGGTGGGGGAGGGGCAACAGCCACGTGCTCTCTCATCCTGGCAAGAATTAAACCTTGCACAACATATTAAACAATTCTGTCTTATTATGATTTATTTTTTATTTATGCTAATGAAACAAAATCACTCCAGTAAAGAACAGAGTATTTACTATTCTCATAGCTAGACAACATCTGTAGAAATCTTTGTCAGTCAGGACCCTGAACAAACCTCTAAGTCTTACTGCCAAAAGTGCATTTATACACACAGAGAAATACCAGACCAGATTAAAAATTCTGTCCCTATTATAATATATGGGATGTGCTCTGAGCAGATTTAATTGGTATTGATAAGGAAGAAGTATCAGTGTAATACTCCATAATTACTTGTACAGATCTGTTCAGACTCCTTTGCAAGTGCAGCTCTGTGAATAGATTCAGCAAGTTAAACCTTAAAAGCCATTCAGACGGGATCCAGGCATTATTCTTTAATTATTATTAAAAGTGAAGTCCATAGTGGGAGATAAAAGCAATGCTCAGCTAATCACACTCTTACTCTAGTCTCATAGGGAGGCTTCATTTGTGAGTTTCCCAAAAAGGATGACATAGTTGTCATGGGTTCATGGTTCCCACAATGCATTTCTTTTTCTCTTCATTAACCTGTCACTAATTTAATCTGTGAAAGCTGTGTCATAATCACATCTTACATTTCTCTCTATTACTGTGGAACAAATTACAACATTTTTCATTTCAGAAAGACTCCACTGTTATTTCTGCTGTTGATAATGAGTTCATAAGGTAGACCTCACAGTCCTTCCAGCCTCTGTCGCGAACTATAAGCCATTTCTTAAAAATAAAATTTTACACATTACAAAATAGTAAGGGTATTATATCATCCCTCATCACTTCTGTCAGAAGGATGCTAGTTCTTTATTTCAGGAAAATAATCTATTATTTTTCATGACTCTGTTTATTTCATAAAAAAAAAAAAAAAAAATCAGAATTAAAGCCCCAAAATGTGTATGATCTAAGCTAACAAAAATGCAGATCTCTAGCTTCGTGCAGAACTATTCTTTTTAAAGCTAAAATGAAGACACTTCTGAGACTGGATTGCTCAAAAGATTAATATCAGACAGTTTAACACAAAGTAATATTTCCATATTCAGTGGCAGTTGTCAGAATTGTTACCATCTCATGACTGCTTCCCATTTGAAATAAAAGGGATTGGTGCTCTCAGTCATTTTTTTCAGGAGACCCTAATCCACTTCACAAAACATAACTGCATTTAACAGTAGATGACAAAAGGGCCAAATCTTGAATATTTAAACAGTCAAATTACCTTGTCACTCTTAAAAGTACCAAGATCGAGCATATGTTGCACATTGGAATCTTGCAAAATCACTCATTAAACCAAGGCTTTTGCTACTGAAAATAGTCTTTTATTCTGCAGGACCACTCCTCTAAAACTGAAATACTACCTAAAATGTGACAGTGAATTTATCATAGAGTAGAAAGTTTTATACCATCTATATAGTAATGATGCTGACATTTTATATATATTCTCTAGACACTCAGTAAGACTTGATTCAATTTGTATATTTCTGATCTGTGATCTCCAAATTCATTTTGCAATTACAAGGAGCAAATCTGCCCATCCTAGACATATTGTCTCAAATACCAGAATACTTGAGATGTTATTGAGAAATGAAATTTTAACGGTACTTCAAACTACAGTTCACTGCCTCATTTGTTTTGTTAACCAGAACTGTCCTGAGTAATCCTGGAATATGTCTGTGTTATGTCTGCATTAATTCAGTGAAATAGGACCTGACAGCAGGTTGAAGCAGTTGGTGTTTGGCCCTCACACCTACATTATTTGCAGCTCAGGAACTTTTCTTCAGACACATTTAGTCTGGTCTCCTGGTATAGCATACCATATAAATGTAGCAATGTTGTCAAAATAAAACCCCAAACCCGCAAATTCCAATACCAGTTGGAACACATCTGGTGCACACCTAGAATGAAGTTTGCAGGTTTGTGGGGTTTTTTGGTTGATTTGTTTTGTTTTGGTTTGTTTTTTTTTTTTAAGAAAACTACTTCACATCAAAGTTCTGTGAGTTGAACCAGCTCTCAGAAAATGGAAATGATTGAGAGATTCACTTCAAACTGTACTACTGCTCCAAATCAAAATGCTAACTTTGAGGGAACTGACATAAATTCCTTTCATGTTCCCAAACTGGATACCAATAGATCCAAGTGATGTAATAGATGGAGTCAGAAAACCAGCAAAACCAAAAGTAAAGCAGCTTCAGGTATTTCAAAGCTGTAGCGCAAAAGTTGTTTTCACCTTGTTCTTTAAGCAGTCAGCTATCACAACAGAAATTCTGTACATCTGTTCACTATTAGCTTGGTAACTCTTTTATCCCTAAACACTTCCTCACAGGGTATACAACCAATCATTAAGGTAATACTTTCCTTTTGAACAGGACGTAGACATTCCGAAGAGTTGTGGTTTTTTGATTACTCTAAAATATCTCACTGTAACAGTGCCTCTAGTTTTTTTTTTTTTTTTTTTTTTTTTCAGTGTGCAAATCTACAGAGGAAGCTGTACCTTCAGCTTAGTTTTAAAAAGGCATAGTCAAACAAAATTTGCCTTTTATTTGGTATTGCAGCCAGGTGAAGGTTCATTTCTGAAAATGAAACCATAGAGCTGTAATTCGCTGTTAGAAGGTCATTCTGTCCTGAATGTCTTTGTTCTGAAATATGATTAAGCAAATATGAATATTCTTAGTCAAGATAATTTCTGAACTTGATATGATTTCTACCTTAGTAAAGCTTGTACAACTTGAATATGATTTTTTTTTTTTAATTCTGATTTAGTAATTTCATTTATTTGGTCTAATTTCAGAAATAAAACTCTTCCACAGCAGAATACTAGCAAAGTCCTATATCCACTGTGTATCATCTTCAATAGATATTTTTCAATAAACACCATTCTATCACTATTCTATCACTGCTATTTCATAGTAGTCTATTTCTGACCTGTAAGTTTAGATATGTAACCCTGATGGATCATATTTTGCATAACTGTGCCTTTTCTATTTATACAAGGGATAAATGAATACGTATCTTCAGACTTCTTGACACATTTGCAGTTGTTAGTTGATGTTTTATTAAAGACAAAAATCTTGGTATATAAATTATAAGCACATAACAAACCTCCATGTGTCCATCCATATCTCCACAACCACAGCCACAACATGCAAGTAGAGATGCTACAAGAAGCCTTCAGCATGAACATCTGAAAAAGAATAGGATAAGGCTTCTCCAGGCAACAAATTCATTAGTGACCATAGATGACTGATGGTAGCATCAGCAGCAGAAGGCAATTCCAGAACTTCACCTGCTTGCCACCTCTGGAGCTCCAGCATAGAAGGAGAAAGGGTTCACCACAGGAAAAGGAGGAACCATGCTGTGATTATTGCTGATGACATGCGGAAACAAACTCTACAACTCAGATGGAGTTATAAAGCAGGTATATTTATTCAGTCAGTGTGCAAGGGGATTTCTCCACAAAGCTTGCACACTGTCTCGGCAAGTAGCCAAATATTTATTACTCCAAATCATACATATTCATTAGGAAAGGTCAGTTTATTACAATTAGTTCGGGGAATAGGTGTGATTACTATAATTATTTCTTGGAAATCATTTGCATAGTCTGAGCATTCGTAGTAGAAGTAGGGTCTTTAGTGATCAAGGGAGAAGTCCGTGGTCCTCTTCATGTTGTCTGCTCTTTCCAGGGCGTGTGCTGTGAAGAAAAGTCCAGGTGTCTTCTTCCTAAATCACTGAGATCATGCTCCATAGATAGCATATCTGAGTCCTTTTGTTCAAGTTTAAGTTTGCCTAAGTTCCCATTGAGGGCTTCTGTTATCGGTGAGTTGCCCTTTTAATTCATACCTCCGGGCTACCTGCTACTTTCCGATGTGTTGGTGGAGGAGGAAGGTCTTGGTTATCAACACCACTCGACGCAAATAACAACTATGGCATTCGCCAACGGTCTAGTCCTATTAAGTAGCTCTTGGGAGGGGATGCAAAAGAACCTGGACATAGTTAGAATATTCTGTGACCTAACAGGCCTCAAACACAAGAGGAAAAGTGTCACAGCTTTTACATCCGGCCGACAAAAGACTCATATACCATCAATGACTGTCCCCCATGGACTATCAAAGGCACTCCCCTCAACATAATTCACCCAAACAACACCAAGAAATACCTAGGACTGTTCATTGACCCCTGGATAGGTATAACAAAACCAAAGTTACTTGACAAAATGACAGATTGTCTGCAGAGAATAGAAAGGTCCCCATTAAAAGCATTCCAAAAGATCGACATACTAAGAATTACACTATCCCAAGAATCATCTACCTGGCAGACCACTCAGATACTAAACCTACATACCTAGAGACCTAACAATTAGGAACACAGTTAAAAGGTGGTTACACCTTCCCCCAAGTACAGCTGATGCCGTGCTCTACTCCAGTACAAAAGGTGGAGGATTAGGTCTAACTCGCCTCGCCAGCCTAATCCCCAGTGTACAAGCAAGAAGAATCCATAGAATCGCACAGTCCTCTGATGAGACCATCCGGGAAATAGTTAGTAACGAGAACATTGAGAAAGAGTTTAAAAACCTTTGGATTGCAGCAGGTGGAGATAAGGAAAAGGTCCCATCCATATGGGACCCTGGAACAGTTATAACGGTTGCTAAGGGAATAATACGTGAGGACGACTCAGAAAGGAGAGACCCACACTAAGGAGAGTCTTTCCAAAACCCTGCAATTGGTGTAATCAGGAATTCAAAAATTGGACCAAACTGCTATCCCAGGGCCGAGGCATAGAAAACTTTGAAAAGGACAATATTAGTAACTCTTGGATTGAACATTACAGGGGCATTCCTCACAGAAAGCTAATCACTGCCCTCCAATTAAGAGCAAATGTATACCCTACCTGAGAATTCCTAGTGAGAGGCAGGCAATTGACATAGAATAAATCTTGCCGTCATTGTCATGCCGAAAATGAAACCTGAGCCCACATAACTGGCCTATGTCCTATTGTACAAGATGCCAGAATTAAAAGGCACAATAAAATTTGTAATGTATTAATTGAGGAGGGTAAAAAGAAAGATTGGATTGTTTACCAGGAACCATTGATCAGAGATAGCCAAAATGAATTGTATAAACCAGATTTAATATTTCTAAAAGATGACACAGCAGTGGTGATAGATGTAACAATTAGATATGAAAGAAAAATTGAAACGTTGCAGGAATCTGCATCAGAAAAAGTAAATAAGTATAAACACTTAATAGACCAAATTCAAGAACTAACAAATACATCCAAAATTAAATTTATGGGCTTTCCCTTGGGTTCTCGTGGAAATTGGTACGAAGGCAACTATTCACTGCTCGCAGACATCGGCATTTCTAAATTCAGACAAAAGAGAATTGCGAGGAGATTATGTAATATGGCCCTATTCTCCTCAGTAGACATACTTCATATATTTGCAAGTAAATCTCGCTCAATTACCACTTAAAATCTGTAAATAGTTAACAATCGCACCTTCGGTTCTGCTAAAATCACTTCTATTCGGTTCTGTTAAAATCACCTCTATAAGCACTTTATGTAACTTCCAACTTGATTGTAATACACATTCATGTCTCACGTTGGATAGTAGTATGGGAATCTCGCATTACAAGCAGTGTCTGCCAATTGAAATTCGACCCTCTCAATTGGCCTAAACCTTTACTGAGTCAAAACCTACTTATTTTGACATAGGTGGACGGGCCATCTTTACTTAACCCAGAAAAGAAACATATTTTTATATGTGTTTGATAAATAGCCAATCCCCAACTGAATCCACAAGAGTCTGGGCAAGCAGGATTCTTAGGCAGTGTTCAGAAGTCATCGTATGTTGCTACAAGTAAATAATTGCAAGGAAAGTGGTCATTTCTCTGTATCACTGAACCCTGCTTTCTTACTTGATATTATCTCTGAGAGGCATCTGCAGTTAATTTCCCCCCTCCCTTGTCCTTCCTCTTGTGTAGATGACCAACATGGCCTTCTAAAGGACAAAAAAAAAGCCCCTCTCTGCATTTCAGGTTGCTGTTCTGTACCAAAACCATGGCTGTCATTACTTCTGTTCATAACTGCCTTTCCAACAAAACAAAACAAAAAAAAAAAATCCAAAAAACAACAACAAAAAATTGTTCTTTCTAACTATTTTTCCTCTATTTTTCTGTTTTAATTTTTTTTTCAATTTTCCATTGGTTTATCTTCTGTAACTACCCTGCTACTCACAGCTTTTCTTATTAATAGATTAGTAATTGGAAATGTGGAAACACTGAATGAATATAAGACCTTTTTGACTTCCTTTAGTTAAACAACTTTCAATGCATTTGATTTTTCACTGAATTTAATAAAAATAAACACTATAATTTTGATCTCCAAGAAAGACCACCTTTCTGCAAGTTTGTATATGTTCATGTAAGCATCATGTTCGTTGAAGTCAGCATATGTACTTAAACTGAAATCTTGACATAAAATATACCAGTTTTCTCAAGACCAAGATCACTGTTTTCAGTTCTCTGCTGCTCTGCCTCTTTTAAATGACCTGACAACTAATGCTGAACTAGAACAGTGCAAAGCTTAGGATGCCTTCACTTCCAGTTGCACAGGCCTCTAGCAAAGGCTTTGTGAAGACCTGACAGAACATCAAAAAGCCAAACTATTCTGACTACTCAACTCTGTTTTGTACTGACAAATAGAATCTCCCCATTGACACAGAAATGGTATGACAGACACTACATCTTGCTGTTCCTCTTCTCTAGACCACTTGTCCTGTTTCTGGTGAATCACAGTTGGATGTCAGTCCTCCAAAGGACTGACTCCTTGCCACAAACTTGCATTCACACCAAACAACTCTTGACTAACATGTCACATGATGAAGGAAGATGAAAATGCATGAAGATATTAGACAAACCTCAGCTCTATTTTCTTTACAAAACTGCATCAAAAATAGGAGATATATAGAGATAGATAGATAGATAGATAGATAGATAGATAGATAGATAGATAGATAGATAGATAGATATTATAAGAAGATGATCTGGGACAACATAGTGTCAATCATTTTGTGCATTTTCTGTTACATGCAGTAGTCTGTGGTTATGTACTGTTATTTGTGATATGGTATTATCAGGGAAATTAATTATACCATGGATTGTATGTGCAGAATCTAGCTGTATTGGCTTGATTCTTGTTCTTTGTTGTAACTAGTACTGCAGATGTATTCTCATTCAGAAACTGTCTACAAGAACTTGCAAACTGTTTGTAAGAACTTGCAAACTGAGCCTGAGAGTAGGAATAGTAAACTGTTAATTGCTTTTCGAAATGAAACACTGTAAGGAGGACAATTTTTTAATGTTCTGTTAAAATGAAAAGCTCCTTGCAACTAAAGAGTTGTTAACCCTGTATTAAAATAGTTCTTGTTTAATGAAAGGATTCTTTTTTTATTGTCCTCTTCTTACATATGCCTTTGTAAAAATCTGTGTTTCAATACAGGTCTGACAGACCTCTTCATACTGTAAAGTATCTGTCATTCTAGCTGTCCTTAAGACCCACAAAACAATAGGGAATATTAATTTAGTGGCTTACAGATGATAAAAGAAATACTGTTTAAAATGAGATCTAGGCAATTCTCTTTTTAAAAAACTGAAATATGCTGTATGAAAACTATTGGACATTGGAAAGAAATTTTATTTTTATTATTCACAAAATTCCATAAATCAATCCAATACAAAATACTTTTTATGCTCTAGTGATAATTTACAAGTAATCAACATTTCTGCTGAAAGCTTAAGTGAAAAATGCCTTGGGAATTAAAGCTAAATATATACCACACTGGGCTGGTAGGGACTGAACTTCACAGAGCAGTTCTCTGCACACTGAACTGTAAAGATAAAAGGTGATTTCCAACTGTTTGCCATTGTAATTACACTGTCAGAATTTTTAGAGCAAATACCATGTCTAAGTGTCAAAAATATAATGGATAATAGACTGCAAATTAATTAGTTATCTGGCTTTTCAATCACAATGAAGTCCTGTTCTTCACGATGTCTTTTCTGACACGCTAACCTTGTGTTTGCATTATTACTTTGGGTCATGTTACTGCAAATACCAGGACAGGCACACAAGACAACAATTTGATAGGTCATAAAACAAACAGTTCCTTAAGGGACAAATCTGAGGACAGAAATAACTGGGGTAGCCTGGTTGTGACTTTCCAGTATAAAATTTACAAGGATTCTAGGGTCTGGTCTCCCCAAAATTATCATCCTCTGTCAACACAGTTTGTAGTAAGTAGCACACAAGTTGAATTCACATATTCACACACCACAGCCAAACGTAAAAGAGTTTTACATTTTTCCCTGGAAGACTAATTCAATTACAGTCTGATATTTCACTGAATTATATTTACTAATGCTCATAATTATAGTTTTAAATGCAATAGCATAAAAAGCTACTCTAGATTGTTTATGACTCCGATCTTTTCTAAACTCTTCCAACTTTTTAACACAGTATCTCTAATAATTTGTCAACATTTTATGAGTAAGCTAAATTACTTCAGAAAGTGGAAAGTATCTTTTTTTGTCCTAATAACGTTTTAATAATGTTGGGGGGGGTGGGGGTGATAGGGGATATTACTGAGTTAAGAGGGTAAATCCATCTTTTGTTATTTATACCCAACTGAAATCCTTGCCTCTGATTACCTAAGAAGAATATAATAATGTCACAACTAAAAGATTACTCCAACTAGGAAATAGCATTAGAAGAATAACACTTATGGGAATAACACTCCCTTTAATTCTACAATTCCTGTTAATAAAAACCTGAAAGAAGTAAGAGCATCTAAGATATGACACTTAAGCACAGAAACTCATTGAATTTTTCCAGATATGTAGCACTTTGACTTCATTCCCCACCAAAATTTTTTACTTCAACACAAGAAAGGAATTAAAAAAAAAAAAAAAAAAAAAAAAAAAGTGTAATATCCTAAGTAAGAGAAACTTTTGCCTAAATAACAGCCAGACATAGGTGTAATAAACTGTTGTAACTAATTTGATAAATTAAGCAAGGAGGGTGGGTACACTTGAATGATCTGTAAATGTTAAACAATTAAATGTAGTGTGCCAGTCAGATTGGAAAAATGTAACTCTGTCTAAGAAACCCCACCTAGCATTCGGTTGGAACACTGTAACCTTGTCTCAGAAACCCCACCTAGAGCTGACATGTAACTGCTGTTTGAAGAAAAGCCCGCAAAAAGGATGAGATCATGAGGCTTTTAAAAGATCCAATAATAGGAGAAAAGTGTGCCAGGAGACCAAGGCTTTGAGATTTTCAAAAGACCCAATAGGAGGAGGACATGCACCCCAGCAACCCAAATGACCCAATGGAAAAGAGCAGGACAACTATCTGACGGGAGGAGTTTGGTTAAAGATGATGGCACAAGAGGAGAAAAACCACTGCTTTTTGGAACTTGGTGTGCATGTGGCAGAGTTGCGGCTCTCCATGCACCCAGTGCTGCTTTGCCTATTGCTTCCCACCCTAAATTGATTGAACCGAAATAAAAATATATTATTTTTATAAAAATTGGCTTTGTCTAATTATAACAATTTGGTGACCCTGACATGATCTCAGTGTGTTTTCCTGGACTGTGGCTTCTCGAGAGGCGCCCCACAGATCATGGCTCGAAAGTAGCAGTCTGGGTCAGTCTCCAGAGATCAATGGACAAAAGAGAAACAATAGTCAAAGGAACTGGAGCTCCAAAGGAAAGACTGCAGTATAAAATACCCATAATTCTGGTGCACAAAGACCCGAACGAAGACGACGGAGTTGTGAGTATAAGGGATACCGTTCGGTTGGGTGGGATTCAGTTGCTTGTGTGTGAGAGTGTGATTGAGATGGAATCTCATTCTGGAAACAAAAGTAGTTTTGGAGCCAGGATTTAAGTTCCGAATCGAGTGTGGAGCTCTTCTAACCACGGTTCCAAACTCCTGTGACGGATTTGGCCATTGAAGGACCGAAGCAGATCATATAGGACTCATGGGTGGGAGCACGGGTTCTAGGGGTATGTGGGTGGGTAAAGGGTTCAGCCCCCTTCAGGACACTCTCACCGGTAACCAAGGGTGAGAGGAATTGCCGTAGAAAATTCCCAAGGCGAGAGGAATTGCCGTAGAAAACTCCCAAGGTGAGAGGACTTGCCTTAGAAAATTCCCAAAGGATACATGGATGGATAAGAGGCCCAACTCCCTGGATCCAACCCCCTACAAGGGCTGTAGGAGTTGCCACAGTAAAACCCCTAGATGGGTCAAAAGGAATCAAAAACCCAGGACCAGAAAAGAAAGACTAAATTACTGGATATACCACCAGATAGTCCATTAGGCATAATGATTAGAAATTGGTATGAAAGTGGTCCTAGAAATGGAAGAAGTAAATTAAAACTAGTCCAATATTGTATGTTGAATGGCTGAAGAAACCTTTAAAACCACGTCTTCTGGCCTACTTTTGGATCTTTTGAAGACGATTTGCCAGGCTTTCAGTACCTATGTTTACTCAAGAAAACCTTTTAGACGAGAAGAAGGCACGTATGCAAAATTGTGGATCAGGACTTCACGTCCTTATCCAGCTTCAATACTTACACTAAAAAAAAGATGAAAAATCTGAAGAAAAAGGGGATAAGAACAAGGAAGGGATAGAGAAAGATGATGAATGGGAACCACTAGATAACTGGCTGCCTCCACACTTTAATTATCTGGCCTCGGCAGCTTTGACGGCCCCAGCCCTGACGGCCTTAACAACTCCGGCTTCTTTAACTGCTACGGTGGCTTTAAAAACCCTGGCGGTTCCCCTTCTACCTCCGGCTGCATGTACAAGAAGTAAAACTGCCGTAACTGAGGGAACTTCTTTATATCCCTTACAGGAGGTACCCCTCGGAGGCAATCAAGGGGGTTAATCGCATTAAACAC